AACATATATTGCTAAAGCAATGTTATTGTATTGTTTAATTTATAAAAACCTCTAGCAAGCTCAATATGTCATGCTTTAATTCTGTTTTTCGGTTTCTCTTTCAGCAACTCCTGAGCCTGCAGGAGAAGCTGTCGAATAAAGAAGCAGAGCTGGAAGAGACTCGAGATGAGCACCGTTACCTGGAGGTGGAGGTGCTTTCACTCAGAGAGAAGGTGTGTCTCCTCACAGCTGGATTATTACAAATGTTACTGATGATAAGGTCACCTCAGGGCTTAGAGGACTGGGTGCTATTTACCAACTCTTATTTTGTAACAGCACGGTGTGAAGCTATAACTCGCCTGTGGCTCATGCCTTCTTTTCATACCCTGAAAACTTGGGTGCACAGAGAGCACAGCTGCAGGAATATGAGCTGACAGAAATACAAAGTGATGCAAATACAAACATCTACTTTATGCTCACTCCTTTAAAAATAGCATTTTAATATATTTTAACCAAACTGCACATAAAATGTACATGTTGACCATAGATGAATATATAAATCAAAGGTTTATTACATAATGAACATTATATTATTTTCATTTGTCCTTTTTATCTTGGATACGTCTTAATGGAAGCAAACTCAGTTTGTCTAATAAATGCTTTACCTGCAGCTCCGAGCTGCTTTACTGTGGTCAACTCAAGTATTAAAAAGTCATGGATTAAAATGAAAATACTTTGATCAAGACTCACACTTCCTGAAGGTGTGGAGGAAGAAAACATTGTTTGTTCAGTGCTTTCAAAAGGTGAGAGGAGCTGGTCCAGCATCGGTGCTCTAGAACCTTCAGGGTCTACATGAGGGGAAAAAGTCACAAATCAAATGACCTTTACTAGTTTTCATTCACATTAGTCAGTTTGTTCACATGTGTTACGGCCGGCTCACTAAGCCGCAATATAAATGAGAACATGACACAGGCGAAAATGGTTTTAGGCCTCGCAAGGCTTTTTATTGTTCTTTTTAGTCTTTTGTCCAGGAGTTTGAATGTTTGTTTTACCAGTCTTGCTGGTGTCACCCCGCACACAACCATGCACCTCACCAACTGGACCTCCAGAACTTTAAGCTCCCAGCTTGGTTCTGCCTCGGGCCGGACCGCCACCACAAYCCTGTCACTAGCTACGTTTACATGGACAAAAGTAATCGGATTAAATGGCCGTTCGGAATAAAAATGTGTCATGTAGACAGCCCGTTCCGATTATTCTGATCCGATTGAGCTCGATCCAAATGAATTTTTAATCAGAATGAAAAGGGGTGGGTTATGCCGATTGATAATCAGAATGACGTTCATGTAAACACTTAATCGGATCATCTTATTTTGATTGTAGAAAACTGAACTGTGCGCATGTCTGCTGACTTTCATTCACCCGGTTAGAGGAGGTGGGACAGCAGCGCTCCAGCTGTGCTGCACCACGCAGAACTTTTCCTCCACGC